TCTGACGCAGTACTCTAAGATAAGTTCCACAACGGCAATTGCTGGTTCATCCTTTTTAATTTTTTAAAGACATAAAGTTTTAATGTAGAAATTGAGTAATTTCCAAAAACCCTATTGCTGAATTAATTATCTAAACACACACAGTGGATGAAAACAACTAGACTGTCCATGGTAGAAATGAGTGACCGGCACTCAAGAACACATTCTAAAACTAGTTTGTGAAATTTCTGAGTACCCATGTTCAATGTAACTGCAAGAAGGGACTTAGATACAATGCATCGACTAAGAGAGCAAAAATCATAAGAAAACACAATCCTTCATTTGAAAATCATTTATCACTTAATTCAAGATGACTCTCCAGCACTGTTAAATTAGACAAAAAAAATAATATTAACCCACTTCAACTTATCTAAGTTAGCAGAATTATTGAATTTAAAACGCGTTTCAAAAACACACGACATTCGGATAACAAAAGTGAAATTCTCCTCTAGCAACATACCTTATTTAACACTGCTGAAACAACATAACAATGAGATCAAATAAACTAAAAAAATCACGATAAATACACAACAGAACCAAAAAATTCCGCGTCGAGAGCCTGATGGGAACAATTTGTAACCTAATCCTTAATAAACATTTAAATCAAGAAGGAGTGGAGCTAAACACTTAACATCTTTCAGAATTAATTCCTTTGAACTTGATTTCAAGCATCCCACATAGACAGAGATCCTACAGAATACAAAAAAAGTCAGTAGTTTTGCTTAGACCAAAGTTTGAACGTGCGATCATATGCACAACTAGCAAGCCATTTGCCATCTGGAGAAATATCAGTTCCCATAACTTTAGTATCATGACCTGTTAAAATCCTCAACGGCCGCCATCCACTTGTTTCCCAAGCCTACAAGCATAAATATCAAATAGTTCAGATTCAGTAAAACGTAGAAGTAGGGTGAATTTGCCCACAATAAAACTGAAGTAATCTAAAAATCAACCTTAAAAAATGCAAAAAAAATAATGCCGACCTTAACTGTGCTATCAAATGAAGAAGTTATCATAAATAATCCTTTTTTGCTAACAGTAATTCCCGAGACTAATGAATTATGAGCAGCAATAGGTTTTATTGAACGACGAATTCTCAGATCCCAAGCGATGCAACTATTATCCGCAGAACCAGTGACCATTTGGTAGCTAAACTTCAAAATAAATATGAAAGAAAGGATTGCAGCATAACAAGTCAGTTTAAAAATAGAAATATTGAGAATCTAAAAAAAAGAAAAAATACGAGTTTCAAGCTACAATAATTTACCCATTTGGAAGCCAACGGCCGCAGTGTATTTCCTTGGTGTGACCTTCCAGAAACATTATACATCGACCAGTACGCAAATCCCAAACACGTCCGTAACAATCCCATCCTCTTAAATAACATTAATAGTGTACTCACGGAGAATTGTAATAAAAATGATTGTTATACAATAATACGCAAAAAAATACACTGTCAGTATTAGAGAGCCATCACATTGAAAGTCAGCATCAAATACCGATCTCGAGTGGCCTTCTTGGAACAATACTTCTTCCTGATATTCCAAATCGTAAAGCCTCCAAGATGAGTCAAAACTAGAAAAGGACTGGTTGATACCGACGAAAAAAAAAAA